GATAGATATTTGAAACAGAAGATGTCAGACTGGATCTAATTTTTGAATAAACGTATCATTTCTGTTTCAACTGAGTGGTTAAGACTTCTCAATCTCAGCATGAAACATGGGTAACTTTGATTTTGGAATCCTTTTAATGAAATTATGCACATGACCTGTAGGTTTCTTAAGGTTTTTTCTAATGACATAAATAAGTGAATGATCCCAGATTGAAGTATTGACTCTCATTAGCAGTTAGGAACCGTGTTTCTGCGTCGAGGTTTCTCCTGGAGATTAACAAACGGGAAAAAAGATGGACGAGTTCATGTGTCAGAGAGAATTTGTTTTCTGTTATGTCTCCCGGGGGGGGGGGGGGGGGGCACCCTGTCTGGGACACGATGATGTAAACAAACGTCTGTACAACAAGCCGTATAACTGGTGACATCAATCTGCAGACATGCTTTGTTCCCTCTACTGAGAGGAAATATTAGAGTTCATTTATGACTCGACAGAAATGCAGATGTGCATTTCTTGGATCCTTACAGTCACTTTCCCTTTTGGGGCCAAAACAATAGACTTGTTTTTGTGACTCCAAACAGGAAGCTGCAGAGTTTAAAAGCCTGAGCCGTTACCCTGCTTCCCGTCTGCTCAGGTGGAACCGGAGCAACATGCTGAAAGTAAAGGCGAGTAGTGGTGGTCCCGATGCCAGCATTTCCACAAGTACTCGTGCAAAATGCCCCGATTACTGGGGACGAGACCAATACCAGTACTGATACTCTATTAAATGTATTAGAGCCACATTTTGAACTTTGTGTTTATTTTGTTTGGTGTAATACCTAAAGGTCACAGTGGGTAGCAATATGCATGGTTTAAAAGGAACCACAGGTAATCACTCAACAGGTGTCCTGATTATGGCAGAAAACACAGCTTTTTGACTGTTGTCGTCGTCTTTGTGTTGTTTCAGCTATTGTTTTGATTATTTCATTGCGGCAATCATATAAACTTTTTGATTGCCCTGTTAATGTTGTAAGTCTGCAACATTAAGTTTCACATGTTGTTGGAGAGAGTAAGGTCAAATAAATGCTCTTTGATTGTGATCAAGCCTTCATTAGTTGGATCCAGGACAACACAGTCAGCAGCCCCTCAGTGGCTTAGGTTCGTTTTATTTTTATTTGTTAAGAAGAAGTGTTATAAAAGTAAAAAGTAAAGTAAAAGGTTTGTCAGTTCCATGTTTAAGAAATTAAACAGGTTGAAAGAACATTTTTATATGTATGTCATAGAAAAGGCAGCATGACGGCTCAGTGGTTAGCAAATGTATGAGTTGAGAAAAAATCTTATTTTTTATTTATATTTATTTTAAATTGTTTAATATATTATTCTGTATATTTGATTTGATGATCAAAAACCACGTAGTTCCTCTGGACGGGTTCTCTTTCAATGTGAAGTTTTTGAACATATTGTTCAGAAAGGGTTCATTAAAGAAGAACCCGTCCAGAGGAACTACTTGTTTTTTGATTTTTCTACCAGGATTACTGAGACGCTTCAGGACATTTGATTAGATGATTATTTCAAACTAGTTTAAAGGAACTCTGCTGTAATTCATGGAATAAGTTTATATAATCAGGAATAAGTTTATGGAATCATTTTGATGACAATGTTAAAACTTCCAGAACAATTTATATGTTAGAAAATATGATAAAAACTAGATTATTGATAAAATACGATAAGTAGTATGTATCAACATGAATTGTTCAAAAGATGGACCTGATGTTGTGTAATGTTTTTCTCTTCTCTCTGCTTTCTTCTATTTCATTTATAAATTGTGTTTTGTTTTTAATTGTATAAAAATTTTTTTTTTTTAATAAATAAATAAATAAATAAATAAATAAATAAATAAATAAATAAATAAGATCCAGTCAGAGGGGCTGCAGCCTACAAGGAGAGAGTTATCTTGTTCTAAATAAAATAAATGTTCTCAAAGTGTTTAATGTTTAGGTTCTAATGCAGTAAGTACTTAGTATCGGTGAGTACACAAACTGAAGTACACATACTCATTTTGAGGAAAAACTAGTGTCAGGACACCTCTAAATTCATCTATCAAATTGACAAATTTCATGAAMGTTGCGCTTAAAAAAAGGAAATATAGCAAAAGTTCAGTTCCACCTTAAAAAAGGTCWAGTAATAGTCTGCACTCACTCACCAGCTGACAGAAATATCTGCTTTATGTTCAACATCATGCACACAGCTAATCAGTTTTTCCTTTCTTTCTTTTGTTTTGATGTCTAAACCTGTTTTCCACACCTTATTTTAGTTACTCTAACCGAGAACACTCAGGTGGTTGTGGGGGGGGGGGCGACGACCCCCGGCCCAATTAGTGCAGTTTCTGAGGTGGTGCTCTGATCTGTCTTCTCAGTCCATGTCAGACTCCCAGAGGCAACTCACAACCACTTCAGAGTCCTCTGGATCTGTCTTCTTAGTTTTAATAATTTTGATAACTGGAATTTAAACTGAAGTCCTAAAGTAGGAGCAAATGTAAGAAATTCTCAGCACTTAAATTAAAAACTCGCACTCTAAGAAGTTTGATAAACACGAGCACTGATCTCACCTCTGGATCTGAGCGGGACGTCCAGCGTTTGTTGTTGTTCCAAATCTGTTTACTTAAGATCCACACAAAATGTGACCAAACAGAAGAAGTTAGTCTTACTTATTCAAACGTTACACTCCAGTCATGTAAACCACCAGGGAGAGCTTTTCAAAGGGGGCATGAGAAGATTGCTGCCATCTGCAAAAAACTAACTCATGAATAATGTGACGAAGTTTCTTCTCCTGCT